ATAATCATCATAATATTCATCATCATAATAATAATCATAATCGTAAGGGTAATAGCCGACGTCCTGCGTCATGGTTTTTTCGTTTGTTTTCTTCTCCCTTCTCGACCCACTGACTGTGGTCTCCCGGCGGTCCGCTGACCTCCTATAGCAGCAGCCCGTCCTGACCCACCGCAATACCGCCGCCGCGCCCCGCCATGCCCCGCGCCTCGCCCCACCCCGCCACACACTGCAACTCTAAGTGGCGCGCAGAGAGGTCGATTTACTCTGCGCAAACAAGTCTCTCCTTCCTCTCCTTTCTTCCCTCACTTCTTTCTTCTCTGCAGCCCCTCAGAACCCTCCGGCACGTTCATCGCCCCGTTCACGTCGCTCGGCCTGACCAGCGTCCTCCTTCCTCCTCTTCCTCCTCCTCTTCCTCCTCCTCCTCCTTTCTTCTTCTTCTTCTTCTTCTTCTTCTTCTTCTTCTTCTTCTTCTTCTTTCCTCGCATCTCGCCGGGACCTGAGATTTATAGTCGCTCTTGAAAGGGCTTCAGTTCAGACGGACCGGGAAGCAGATGTAGTTTGGCGGAACGACGCGAGGCTGCTGGTAGAGATGGAGGGTAGGAAAAGGGGGTGAGTCGAGTCGAGGGAGAGAGAGAGGGAGGTAGAGTCTGGGAGGTTTGCGCGCTCTGGCGTTGTTTACATAAACACCGTAGAATGGGGCCCTCTGTTTGTGAGCCGGGCGATTTTGTAAGGCCGGGAGACTGCGAGGCCTTGACAGGGACGAGCGCCCCCGGTCCCCGCACTCGCAGAGCGCAGCAGAGCCCTACGCTCCGGGGCCAGCCCGCTCTTCTCGAGCAGACTGGCTCCAGTGGTAATGTACGCAAGGAGAGCACGGATCGTCTAGGGTCAGTGCCCGTGGCTGGTCGTAAGGTCTTACAAAAAACCTATCAATTTAATTAAATTAAAACAAACTTGATCTCTTTTTCCTGCTGTTTTAGACTTGCTCCGAGTATTGTTCTGTGCAAACTCTTAATTTTAATTTAGAAATAAGTGCATGGCTGTCGTAATTTGCTTAAGTATACCGGGCGATTCAGAGAAAACGCAGGTGCGGGCGGGTTGGCCTTCCCGCTCTGCCCGTAAGGAGCCATAGCCCCTTGGGTACACTTTAAATTCAAAGGCTCAAAGGCTAACCTGCTCGCGTCCACGCCTGCGTCTTCTCTCAATCAGCCGGTACAAAAATCAGGCAGCAGACCGCGGAAGGAGTTCGGTGTGGTTCGAAAAGAAGCGACCGCTTTGCCAGCACAGTTAAATTTTTTGAATAAATCAACGATGTGCGGTTTTAAAATCGCTCTTTTAAACATTTGTTTCGTAATAAATTGCGTGGAGAGCAGAGAAAAAAGGGGGGGGGGGTAAAGGCTCCAATTGTGGAGCGTATATATGTGTATCATGTATCGGATTCCCCTCCACAGCGACAGTGTGCTGAGCCCGTCGGCCCCGGCGCCGCGCGTACGTGAGATATAAATTCTGTAGTTCGGCGTGTTGGTTTGTGATTCGACACACGCCGCTCCGGTCTGCCCCCCACCCCCACCCCCCATTTTTAAAGGCGGTAAATTCTAATCACCATACTGCTTCGAGCAAGAGAAAACGAAACAGTAAGCAAGCAGTCGGCGAC